ATACTCCAGTCTGGGCGACAGAGTGAGACTCCAACTCAAAAAAAAAAAAAAGAATATGTACACTAAAATTTTGGTAGATGTTGCTAAATTTTACCAACTCATTCCCATGAGAGTGCATGTTTTCTTTTCATATTCATCAATACCATGTTAACCAATTCTTTAATTTTTGCCCGCCTGACAGTGAAGTATATCTCATTGCATTCACTGGTGTAAGCATTACTTCACAGATTAAAGAGAGATCTGTTTTCCTTTTCTTTGAACTCTGTTCATGTCCTTTGCCGAGTTTCCCATTTGTGTTATCCATTAAGGAAATTAGCCTGTCTGTGACACCTGCCAAATGTTTTTTTCCTAGTTTGTCCTTTGTAGATTAACTCAAGCATAGTCCACAGTTTTCTTAAGACCTTGAGCAGGCTGTTTGGGGACATGGAGAACCAACCCTCCTGGCGAGCTGTTTCCATGTGGGCCCCAAAGCAGGCATTTTCACCCCCTGACATTGACAGGGCGTCCTGTCTTGCTATCGATCAAGAAGACTCGAGTTGTTTTGTGTGCAGTTGACCTAAGGGAAGTCATGAGGTGTCACTCTCCAGACTGACATATCTGGGGAGTGTAAATGAGTTCCGATCCTCAAAAAGCTTTCAGTCTTTTGTGGGAGATAGGACATGTCCTCATAATCCTGAGGGCCCTACAAAAGGGCTTCCCCCATATAATTTTTTTTTTTGAGTTGGAGTCTTACTGTGTCACTCAGGCTGGAGTGCAGTGGCATGCTCACAGCCACCACAGCCTCAACCTGCTGGCCTCAGGTGATTCTTCCACCTCAGCCTTCCACGTAGCTGGAACCACAAGTGAGCGCCACCATATCCAGCTTCTTTTTTTTTTTTTTTTTTTTAATAGAGACAAGGTCTCATCAAGTTGCCCAGGCTGGTCTCAAACCTCTGGGCTCAGGCAGTCCCTCTCGCCTCCACCTCCCAAAGTGCTGGGATTACAGGCGTGAGCCACCACGCCTGTCATAATTTTTTTAAAGATGTATTTTTTTTTTAATGACATAAAATCAAATCTCTGTAAAAAGAGAACACCTATTTGTCTGCTTTCACCTAGGGAGCTGAGAGCATAACCACGTACACATTCAATACGCACAAAGCCCAGCATACCTTCTGTAAGAAATGTGGCGTTCAGAGCTTCTATACTCCACGCTCAAACCCCGGAGGGTTTGGTGAGTAAAGGGAAAAGCCACAAGCTCAGGGCAACACGGAGAGGCCCATGGAGTTCTAGATTAGAGTCCTGATCGGATGGTTGGGGTGCGGGCCAGGTCCTTTCACACGCGTGTCGTGGAAGAACAGGGCTCTTCAGCAGAGCCCTTTCCAAATGATAGAATATAAGACTGGCTCTGGTCAGACCTATCCAAATCCTGTATCTGAATATGGCAAAGTCTGATGCCAAGTCCATTTGGATGGTGATTCTCACTCACTGGTGCTGCCAAGAGCTGTGTTGCTGGAGATGACATTAAAAGATAGAGAGAGGGCAGGTGGGGAACTTGGCTTGTGGGGTCCAGGGAGGCAACTTTAATAATGACAGGGGTGAAGAAGGCAAGAATCAGGAACACTGATAATGCCATGTTTTTAAAATTTTGATCTCTTAAGAAAACAAGCAGAACCTCCAAGCCCCATTTCAAGTGCTGCTTAAATCTGGGGGGAAATAAAACTAACCCTTAAGACAGTTGTTCAGAATAACACCTATTGCAGTGTGAATTGAGGGGAAATCTGGAGGTGGAAGATGTTCTGAAGGACTCTTAAAAATGCAGCCTCCAGAGCTGCAGGGGCAGCTGCAACTGTTTTGCCTTATGATAGGAGAGGGCATGACGACATCCTTGCCTCTCCCCTCATTTCTCCAAAAGCTCCTGTGTGTTCCTCTGTCACAAGGAGACCTCTTCCTGCCTACCTTGTGGAACAGGAAAGGGTTTTTTTGTTTTGTTTTGTTTTTTGAGTTAGAGTCTCACACTGTCGCCCTGGCTAGAGTGCAGTGGCAGGCTTGCAGCCACCGCAGCCTCAACCTGCTGGGCTCAGGTGATCCTTCCACCTCACACTTCCAAGTAGCTGGAACTACAGGTGCATGCCACCTCGCCTGGTTAGTGTTTGTGATTTCTTATAGAGACAAGGTCTCACCAAGTTCCCCAGGCTGGTCTCGAACCCCCGAGCTTAGGCATTTCTATCGCTTCGACCTCCCAAAGTGCTGGGATTACAGGCTGAGCCACTGTACCTGGCCAGGAAAGGGTTTTGAAAAGTTGAAAATCCATCCGGGCTCTCTGGCTCAGCCTGTAATCCCAGCGCTTTGGGAGGCTGAGGTGAGTGGATTGCCTGAGCCCGTGTGGTTCAAGACCCGCCTGGGCAACTTGGCGAGACCTCATCTCTACAATAAGTCAAAAATTAGCCGGGCATGGCAGCGCGCACCTGTAGTTCCAGCTACTTGGAAGGCTGAGGCGAAAGGATCGCCAGAGCCCAGCACATCAAGGCTGTGGTGGCCAGGAGCGGCCACTGCACTCCAGTCTGAGTGACAGAGTGAGACTCCAACTAAGAAAATAAAAAATAATAAAAAGTTGAAAATCCTATACAAATTAAGGGGTATTTTTTGGCAAGTTATCTAAAACACAGGAAAAGCCTGTGTATTCTTCAGGCTGCCAGTCAAGAGAGGGCTCTGTTTGGAGCCTTTCTGCTGTTTGGTACTCTCAACTTGGTACTGAATGATGTCCAGCCTTGGCCATCCCTGCTTCAGGGAGTCTGATCCCCTTCTGTCAGATAGGAAAGTAGGCCATAAGGTCAAAACAGTCGGCTGTGACCTGTGCCTTCCTAGTGCAGCAAGCAGCGTGTCAGTCTCATCTTGGAAGTCACAAGCTGTAGCTTAGCTTGAGAGACCTGATGTGTAGTATGGCAATGCTTGCAGGTGAAGTTTTGTCCAAGAGCCAGTACAGCATCACATCTCACCCACTCTGGGGACCCCTCTTTCTCTGTGCTACTTCCTCGTAGGAATCGCCCCCCACTGCCTGGATGAGGGCACTGTGAGGAGTGTGGTCACTGAAGAATTCAATGGCAGCGATTGGGAGAAGGCCATGAAGGAGCACAAGACCATCAAGAACATGTCGAAGGAGTGAGCTTCTGCTTCTTCTGTCCTGACAAGGAGTGACTGGGGGCGGCAACTTGGCCGTCCCTGCTGCACCTGAGTGGTGCTCTTGAATGTGGCTGACCCACGCTGCTGGTGCTGTGAGCCAGCAGCCGTCGTGATCTCTGCAGTTTTCTCCAGCTACCAGTTTCTTTAGGCAGCTCTTTGTCCTCCCTCGGCCCAGATTTTGATGTAGTCTAGTTGACATCCTTCCTTCTCTTCCCAACTTTTGTGTGATCTTTTAGGAAAAAAAAATAAATATTTTTAACATTAAAGCAGTTAACTGTGGCTTATCATTTATTTTGTACTTTGATTTTGCTTCTGAGGCTAGTCAATAGCAGGCATTTATTGAGCACTATCAAGATATTTGCAACCAAATTGAAAAGAAGAGATAAAAATAAATGAACAGTTATTAAAAATAGAGAGTGTGAATGACTACAATCCATGTGAGCTGTAAAGGTAATATGAGCTCCAGGAGTTCAAGAGGAGAGGGAGGGCTAATCAAAGACTTAGGGAGGGTATGTTTTGAGTCTACTTTTTTTTGATTTGGAGTCTCACTCTGTCACCCAGACTGGAGTGCAGTGACTGCTTCCAGCCATTGCAGCCTCGACCTGCTGGTCTCCGGAGATCCTTCTGAGTAACCGGAATTACAGGCGCACGCTACCACGCCCGGCTGATTTTTTTTTTATTTATTGTCGAGATGAGGTCTCACCAAGTTGACCAGGCGGGTCTCGAACCCACGGGCTCAGGCAATTCACTCACCTCGGCCTCCCAAAGTGTGGGA